ATTAGACACCAAGAGTTGGATGACAACAGTGGGTGAACAAAGACGTTTAGAGGAACATGTACTTGTAACAATCTGTTTTTTCTCCCTTGGTGGGATTTCCTCAAATATGCATGTCTTGGCAAATTAAGATTTGCAGATTTAGTCCATGTTTATTTTCCAGTGACCAATTAAAAATGAAGTATGTAAAACATAGGTAATCTAGGTAAAAGAATTTATGAGTGATGATAAAGAACCTTTTTTTTCCCATGATGGGAGAAGCCTCTGTTACAAATGAGCTAAACATATTTGGTTTAACCATTAGTTATACTTACACTGAAATCTGTAAGCCTGATTTTAATCAGAAGTAATTTAAGGAAGAGAATAGAGGAATAGTTGTAGAAAGCCATGTAACTGTGACAGTTGATAGGGAGGTTCTGCCTACCCATATGGCTCTTGGTATAGATTTCTACATGCATGTATGGCTTGGAGTGCAGAAGGTCATTGGCTGAAATCCTGTTGCATAGTTTCATGTGTGCAGTGGGGAGGGTGTCATCATCAGTGGCAAATTGCTAATGATTAAAGGCTTCCTTTGGTGATTTCAGGATACACACAACATCCTCCCACTGTGTATTAGACATGAGCACCTCAGAATTGCTTTGAATCAATGGTGATTTGCCTTTAATCAGCAGTGATTTGCTGCTGGTGGTTGTGGTATCATTCCCATTGCACACACAGAACTGCACAAAAGGATTTTAGTTATTTTTTTAAAAGGACAGTTGTGTTGGTGTGGCCCCTAGAAAATATCAGGCTGCATGTTTAATGGAAGCACTAAGAGCTAAATGTAATCCCCCTGCAGTTCTGACATGCTTCACAAGTTCACCCTAGATTCCTATGCAAAATGCCCATCTGTTGCTCAGAAGCAAGGTCTATACATAGCTTGTTACTTGCACGATTGCCCAAAAGACAACATAGTCCAAATCATGTTTCCATCTTCCAGTTTGTCACTTGATAGAGCCCCAGATGGAAAAGACAGACTGCCTTACAAATGAAACAAGCAATTATTTGGTTACATATTGAATTATTGCCCTATAAAATGCCATTGCATTTTTTTGCCAGTTAGAAAGAGGGCTCCTTCACTACAAAACCATACAAAAATCCCACAAATGCTTATGGCTGGTTTTGATATGCAATCCTGATTCAGCACAATCAACAAGAAAAATGAAAAATGAAATGTAGGCTAGCATTATAGATTACTCCCTTAGAAGCAGTCTTGGAATGATCATTCAGGTAGGATTTGTCTAATAGTTTCCTTCCTCTGGAGGAAGGCATCCATTAAATTCAACCCATATATTAGGAAGTAGTTTCAATAGATTTTGCTGCCCTGAAAGAAATATTTCTGAATGCAGTTAATAGGGGTTGACCTCTAACCATATACCACATTTTAGAATGTTATCGAGGATTGTCCTCTCCAGACACGCAGTCCAGAGTGACTACATGAAGAAGAGGGAGCGGCATCACAGCAAGAGACAATATCCCAACCAGCTTGCATGTTTTTGGGTTAGGAGTATTTGGCATTTCCAGACAGAGTGCAATGGCCTATTGCTAAATTTGTGACTACGACAGGTAAGTAATTTGGAAATTGGTAACAAGAAAAGAAAGAAAACTTGTTAAAGTTTTATTTAATTGTTAATTAGAAAATCTCTTTAGAGGTAATGCAGGAGAATAGTGTTATCTTTGCGTGCTAGATGTGCTTTCAGCCATGATCAATACTTAATCTCTCCTCTCACACACTAAATTGGAACAGCAACAAGCAGGACCTCAGAGAAGGAATATGAAGGAAGATCCTATGAATAGCAATCTGCATATAAATTTAGAAAAATTTAGGGGAGAAAACACACTTCAGCCCATCTGACTCACAGATGCTACCCAGGTGAGATAATTTGCTGCATGTAGTCATTCTCCATATCAGCACTAGAGATAGGTATATTCATGTGAAGTGCATCTTAGTGGTTCCAGTTCTCAGAATTGGACCATCCACTGATCCTTCACCATGCCGCCAGCCTGCCGCTCTTTCTGCCAATCACAGAAGTAGCTCTGCCAACTTCCTGCTTGGCTGGCCACTCAGCAGCCAGCCAAGCTTGTCCTCTCACCCCCTGCCTGGAGTGGCCAACTAAGCAGGAAGATGGAGGAGGTACTTCCACAATTGGCAGAAAGAGTGGGAGGCTGGTGGTATGGTGAAGCGTGAGTGGACAGGCCGGTTACGAGGGCCAGACCCACATTATACACACCTGGGATGGGAATATTCATTTCATTTAGAATATTTGTTTATGAATACAATTATCTCCATCTCTAATCAGCACGTCAAACAGCAGAACAGAAGCTATGCATATTCAATTTTATTCACCTAGGCTCTCTCTAGATAGTCAAATGCCTCTGTGTAGGTCAAGGGTGCAGAATGGCACTCTCTCCCATCCTCTTGCTTCTACTCAGGTCAAACTTTCATTACAATCTTCTGCTATCACACTTGCAGGAAATTTCTGTCTGTCATCAGCTTTCTTTACATCTCTCTTGGTCAAACAAATAAAAATATTTCCATTGGTTCCTTTGGAGTCAGAAGATAATTTGGAATGAAATTTGGCCTTATATTGCAAGCAATTGTGAATAATATCTCTGTCTTCATGCAAACAGCTCCTGAGATGAAAGAGCTCAGAATATTTAATTCTTGTGAGTAATGCATATGTAAAAGTAAAGAATGCATTTACATAGTGCTTTGGTGACATTTCAATGTAACATGCATGCTATTTTTACAGACACTACATTTTCTAGCTTTTTGAGATCCATACTTGCCAATAGGTTAATATATTCTATTGATATATTAACAGCTTTTTTCTAGATTTGAGATGCACACATGCCTATATGTTAACATATTCTTATTTAGGTTTCTGTTTAGTTTTCAGTTATTTTAAAAATTGCTTATGACTCACATACTAGGTGCACAGAGATTTCAACAAGACACTGAAAATCTAAAAACCAATTGTTTTGTTGACAATGGAAACACAACATTTCCAAATGTTGCCTCCCCAAGAGGAGGAATTCAGAAATGCTCTTCCTGGGAGGTAGATAAGAGGGAAAGTGATAACGGGAGAACCAATATGATGGTGAATATGGCAGGGCAACATGCCCTGACACCATACCTATTGTCTGTCCTGGAAGCATACCTGTCTGCATATCAGATGCAGACAGGCAAACAATCATACTTTATTCCCAAAATCCAGCAATTTACATATGAGAAGATTATGTCTGGAAAACCTGTGTTACATCACACTTTTCCTTTCCTAGGCTTTGTTCCCTGTACTCTACTTTTGCACAGAATGGGACAAACTGAGGAAAGACAACAAACCTCTTTGACTAGGATAAAAAGTTTTAAGAGGCATGTCCCTGATCACACTGGAAAGGGTTGGTTTAATAGAAGCAATCTCCTTTCTGTCTGCAGGGAATCTTTCCAGCATGGCCCCCAAAATTAGAAGAACTGCAGCTGGACCAAAAAGGTTTGGCTTGGGCCTGGAATGGAGTCAGGCTGCAATGCATTTCCCTATAGGTTGTGTGACTGCCAGGAAATAGATTTCACCAGGCTGCTCCATAAGCAGTTCAAATTGTGGTCTATTTCCCCATGTGATTACACCCTTACAGAGGAATCCAGCAAACCACTTACAGTGGGATGCGGAGAACCTTGCTGGCAGAGCCCAGCCAGAGATTGGAGAAGTTACTTTTTTGGATTACAGCTTCCAGAATCTCAAAACTAGCATAGACTGTATGCTGGTGGTTGTACTCTAAAAAAAGTAAGATTTCCTGTCAGTACCACTGACACAGCCCTGCCAGTTTACTGCTGCTGTGGGGGAAGGAGAGAGAGTCAGAATTTCTTTCATCTCCCCCCCCCCCCCCCCNGGGAGGGAACAACCTGCTTCAGCCAATGTAAAGTTCTGTTTAGTTTCTGTTAAAGAAAACAATAGGGCTCTGGAAATGGTGTGTCCATGTCCAGTCCCAACGTGTCCCGCACTGGAAATAGAACACCACCAGGAGAACATCTGCACCAGCAGAACATCACTTACAGCACTTCATCTGCTGGTAAATACAGGATCCCTTGTAAGACAAACACCCGATTTCTCCTAGCCAATTTGAGTGTTGCTGCCATTTATAGTTAGACTTTGTTGTTGTTTTGTTGTTCCATGTGGATAATTCAGCTGATTCCATATTGACTACAACTCTTTAACATAACAGATTACCATTACTCTGATTACGCATTGCAAGAGAAAAACAAGACAAAGCAAATATATGTTAAGTATTAGAGAAATGTGCCCTGTAAATTTAACCCTTCATTAAAAAAACCCCCTCCCCCTCCATCTCAATCTTTTTCATGTTCTCTTGGACTGCTGGTCAGAAAATGTCCAAATTGTTTTCAAGGGGAAGGCAACCTGTTGATGTGGAACAGAAAAACATTTGGAGTTTTGTGTCATGGCAGCTGGACGGGAGAGCCTGGTCTCCGGCTGTAATAGAGCCAGCAGTTGCTGTGATGCGCTAGGTGAATCAGTAAAATGGGATACATTTCATTCTGTTCAAGCACCATTCCATGAGTACCATGAGGGATGTGTGCAAGAACAGGGCACAACATAGGGAAGGAATAAGCAAGCTCCAGGAGTCTGAGGGGGCCACAAAAGTCCAGCCACATGACACTTGATGGCTACTTCCATGTTTGAAAAAAAAATCCACTGCCAGTTTTGAATGGGAAGGATTTCAGATAAAGTAAGATATGTGTGTATAGACAGGTTGTGTTAGAAGAGAATTGTACTCGTGAGTACGATTCTTCCTTTTTTGGAAAAAAATCCTAATAAATTGTGGGAAGGGGGGACGTAAAAAATGGTCATGGAACAGCATGATTTCCATCCCTGACTCTTTGGGAAAAATTACAATTCAGGGAAGCCATTTTACCTTAAATTTAGATACATTTCCCAGTATAAAGTTTTGCAGATAAATACATTTTATAATTAAATACATTTTCAGAATGAACATGAATCTCGAAATTGTTAACTCCTTACATGGTTCTTGTAGGAATTCTTTGTTATAGATTCTAACGTGTTGAAATTAGATATCAGTCGTTCTTTGGAACTATTTCTGTTGTTAATGGCTACTTTATAAGTGGATAACTTCTTGAAAGGATCATAGTACATCTACTCCCCACAATGGCTAATGTTCAACTTGTCCTATATTTCTTTTAAATTAGCTATTAGTGAAACAGCCTCATGTATTTTCCTGTTGTATGTAGGTTTCACATCTGGTACAGTCAGAAGAATAAGTCTACATGAGTGCTTCAGAATTGCTTCTTTCACATGACAACACACTTGCCTTTCAGCTTCTCTTTTCTTTTCTGCTGCTTACTTTTTTTGCCATCAATCTGTAAACTCACAGTCCTACGTTTCTCCAGGTTTAGCAGCTCTTGGAATAACTCCTTCACATTGTGGTTCATCTTGGCAGAGGTCTCCATAAAGGCACATTTCCACTTTTTGGCCATGGCTTCACCAGCGCTGGTCTGCACCTCTCGGTTGTGGTCTTCATCATTCTTGTTCCCCACCAGCATGATTGGAATGCTGTCTATATCCCCTTTGATCTGACATATCTGCTCGTAGATAGGCTTGAGTTCCTCCAATGACTGCCGGCTGGTGATAGAATACACCAGAATGAAAGCGTGTCCTTTCGAAATAGACAAGCGCTGCATGGCAGGAAATTGATGGCTCCCTGTTGTGTCGGTAATCTGCAAAGTGCATATGCTCTTATCACAGCTGATCACCTGCCTGTAGGTGTCTTCAATGGTGGGGATGTAGCTGTCTCTGAAAGTGCCTTTAACAAACCTCAGGACCAGTGAACTCTTGCCAACTCCACCTGCTCCAAACACCACCACCCTGTAATCGTTGCTTTGTTCAGGCATGGTTTTTCAAAGAGTGTGATGGTCAACCAGGAAAGAAAGCCTGTGAGGAGTAGAAATACAAAACACCTATTAACAATGTGGTGGGGAAGTGGTACGAAAGACATTGAGAGTGAGAGAAATGGGAAGAACAGAATATGTTACTAGAAAACATGAAGACCAGTTGTCTCTTTCATCTCCACTTTAGAATTCCATGTTCCAGTCCAAAGCAGAGCTGTATAAGAGAATACATCACTTACTGCTCAATTTCCTGATCTGTGTGAAATAGAATTGATCATTACAGTGGTGCCTCGCACAACGATGTTAATTGGTTCCAAAAAAAACACAGTTCTGTGAAAACATCGTTCTGTGAAACCCCATTTCCCATAGGAATGCATTGAAAACCAGTTAATCCGTTCCAATTGGAACGGATTGCCGGCCTTAAGTGAAAATCGGCATAGGAAACATCGTTGAGGGAAACGCGGTTCCTCAACTGAAATGCATTGAAGCTGACTCAATGCATTTGAATGGGTTTGCGAAGTCCCTTTTCGCTCCTGTAAAAGTGTCTTAAACTGTTTGAAACCTGTTTTAAATGCTTGCAATCGTTATCCCACCTCCTGAAACCTATGCAAACTTAATTTGGTGTTGCTCTGAGTTTTCGTTAATTTTTGGTGAATTTTTTTATTCTCCATTGAAAGCCAATGAACGGTGCATCTTTATAGAAATGTAAATGATTTGCAAAAGACCATAACTTTATCCTTAATTCTAATTCTTCTACAGTTTTCTGGTTCCTAATAATAAAAGGGAGATAAGTAAACTGTAGTTGGAGATTTTGTGTACCTTGAAATAGTTAAAATGTTTGTATACTTTTGTTCCATCATCAATTCAAATGGAGACTACAGTCAAATAAATCAGAAGACTGAGACTTGGAAGGGCAGCAATGAAGGAATTAGAAAAGATCATCAAATGTAAGGATGTGTCACTGGAGTCAAAGACCAAGATTATATACATTCGTGTATTTCCAACCACCATGTATAAGTATGAACGCTGGACAGTATACATTCGTATATTTCCAACCACCATGTATAAGTATGAAAGCTGGACAGTTCAGAAAGCTGACATAAAAAAATTATTTGGAATGCAGTGCTGGAGGAGAGCTTTGCAGATTGAGAAAGCTGACATAAAAAATTTATTTGGAATGCAGTGCTGGAGGAATGTTTTGCAGATACCCTGGACTGCCAAACAGACAAGTTGGTTCTAGATCAAATCAAGCCTGATCTATTTCAGAAGGCAAAAATGTTGAAACAGAGTCTGTCCTATTTTAGGCACATTATGAGAAGAAAGGATTCTCTGGAAAAGACAATATTACTGAGAAAGGTGGAAGGCAGTAGGAAAGGAGAAATACCAAAAACGTACAAGATGGACTGAATCTGTAAAGGAAGCCACAGACTTGTATCTACAAGAGCTGAGTATACCAAATACGTACAAGCTGGACTGAATCTGTAAAGGAAGCCACAGACTTGTATCTACAAGAGCTGAGTAAGGCTGTTGAGGAGAGAACATTGTGGCGATCACTCATTCCTAGGGTCACCTTGAGTTGGAAGCAACTTGACAGCGCAGCAGCAGCAGCAGCAGCAGCAGCAGCAGCAGCAGCAGCAGCAGCAGCAGAAGAAGAAGAAGAAGAAGAAGAAGAAGAAGAAGAAGAAGAAGACTATGTTGGGAGAAATTACCGACATTCCCTTTTTCTCACTTTGTTTCAATTTGATGTCACTTTAATTATAATGGCTTCCTCTTATGGAATTTTTGAAGATGTAATTTAATGTACAGTGGTGTACAGTAGTCAGAATTCTCTGCTGAAGTTCAGGACAGTACAAAAAGGCTCTCTACCATCACCCATCTTAAGGAGTATCTAGTCATTCCCTCTGTGGATGCACTTGGCATACTTTGAAGGCAATGCCTAGCTACTCCCCCCTCTCTCATAAATTTCTATGAATGAAAAGTGACATGCCTGTAGTAAGGATATTCTTACTTATATTCAGGCTCAGGAGCTCTGGAGAACTGGGGTTGTTGCTCACATGTAGAGCCTACACAAAAGCAGGAGAGTGTAGGCTTTACATTACTGTGGAGTGATACTTCCAACACAGTATGAAGAAAGTGGTGACAGACACTTTGTGAGGAAAGACTCAGTGTGAATGTATTTATAGAGGAAATGAGTGAAAACTCCTTATGAGAGAAGGAATGGAGCCCTAATAGCTATGGTAACTGTGTAGTAGAGAGATACTCTATTGGGTGTCCTAGCTTACCATGTCTATTTTGGCTAGCATCAAGTATTGTATTCAGGGCCTATGGACAGAAGCACCCTAGATGCCTGATATTCCTCTTCACCATTCTAGTCTACTTGTTGATCTATCCCTTGCTTGCTTTCCAGGAATTATACAAGTTGCAATACAATTTTCTTATTTGTCTGTTCCCCTTCCTACACACTATATTTTCATTCTGAGAAATACTTTTTTCCTGACTAAATATGTCTGATTCATTGATGTTTTTTAATGCTTTGGGTAGTACACCAAATAAATATTGCCATGGAGAAAAAGAAACATTTATCAGACCCTAGATTGTATTTGCATCTTTATGGGAATGACAAAAAGCCACATTTCTAGGCTTATCGTGATGATAATGCATAGTACCGTTGGTAGTAAATTTTGTAAAATCCAGTAATAGTCTATAAAAACAAGATCTGGCATGCTATGTGTGATTAACTTTATCGGACACAAGATGTGCAATTAATCTTATCTTACATGCAAACTGTAAGATGCAGTATGATACAGGAGAGGATGTGATGTTGTCCCTGATTTTAGCAAGATTTTCAAAACTTAATCAGAGATGCTTCTGAAATGTTCAGCTGAATCTTCTAGATTTAGAGTTTTTAAAATTTCAGGATATTTAAAATTTGTATTTTGAGCAGAACATTGTGAAATGCCCCATATGCTGTAGTTTCATTTGTTTCTTAGTTTTTCAGCACAATTTTTGCTGAAAAAGCACCCTCTCAGCTTATACTCGAGTCAGTGTCAAAGTTACATGTTCTCCCCTGCAGTGGGGGTGTTCTCTGGACTCCTAAACTCATCTAGGGGTGCCTGCAGCCTCTGTGGGTGATCCAATGACATGGGTTAAGTACACTGCATTTCCGTTTCCAGGACACTCCCATCCTCCTCCTTCTGCATATTCTATGTACCCACCTTCCTCCTCCCACCTTCTTCCTTCATCTTCCATCTCCCTCCATCTTGTTATGTAGCAGTAGAGCAGTAGATAAGCACAGCATCCTGTATGAGTCCTCCCTCCGCAGGCAGTGAAGTGTGTCTCGCAGCTCAGAAGGGCAGTATCTTCAAAAACACCTAACGTACCGATGCCTCAATTAATGTAATTTTATTGGTATCTATTTTTATTTCTGAAATTTACCAGTAGCTGCTACATTTTCCACGCTCGGCTTATACTCGAGTCAATAAGTTTTCCCAGTTTTTTGTGGTAAAATTGGGTCCCTCGGCTTTTATTCAGGTCGGCTTATACTTGAGTATATACGGTAAGTATATTATAAACACAAACTCTTCTTCTAGTTATAGGCATCATTGCTGTGGATGCAAAAGATGGAGGCCTGCATTACTGGCAGAAATGTGAGAAACCAGTGCAAAAATGCTGTGTTGATTAATATCCATTTGGGAAGGTCATTTAGAGTCACATTTTGTTGCAGAATTTACCAAAAATTAAACCTCCAATGTAGACATACTACAACAATGTTGCCTAAAGAGTTGTAAACGTCTATGAGTTTTAGCTATTGGCCACGTTTTCCTTATTTGTCTCATTTGCTTGTTAACTGACAAATACTACCTGAGACAAAAACTATCCCAACAAATCTGTTGGTATCAGGTACTCATTTGCCAAGTATTCTTTTTTCTCCCAAACAATGTTAGGGGGGAAAAATATGTCCTAGGAAGCCCCCAAATGCTAAGAAACACAAATAAGGTGCTCTGGATGAGATAAAGTTGGCCCCATGGGGAAGGATTGGAATGTTCAATGCAGGCAGCGTAAATGAACACTGAACCTTAATCCTCAATAGATTTAGGTTGTGGTCGCACCAGCAAAATGTTCTCTACTTATGCCCCAGTGAGATTGTATCTTAAATTTGCAGTCACATGACACATGGCCATAAGTGAATCATTGACCAGGCCAGTGTGCTAACTGTGGCTCACTTTCCACTTCCCTGAAGGCTTATACTACCCTATTTCCCTGAAAATAAGCCCTAACCTGAAAATAAGCCCTAGTATGATTTTTCAGCATGCTTGTAATATAAGCCCTACCCCCAAAATAAGCCCCAGTTAAGTGAAACCCTGCCCCCCTCCATTGTGCAGCAACCAGATGACATGACTGCATTTGAATAAATGTTATACATGAAAAAATCCCCTGAAAATGAGCCCTAGTATGTTTTTTGAAGCAAACATTAATATAAGATCCTGTCTTATTTTCAGGGAAACACAGTATTTTTTTTCCAGAGCAGTTCGATATACAGTGGTGCCCCGCATAGCAACGTTCATCCGTTCCAGGATTAACGTCGCTATACGGAAACATCGCTGAACGGAAGAAAAAACCCCATAGGAACGAATTAAACTCTGTTTAATTCGTTCCTATGGGACAAAAACTCACCGTTCAGCGAAGATCCTATATAGGGCTGCCATTTTCGCCACCTCGGTAAGCGAGGTGCGAAATGGGCGGCCATTTTGGAACCACCGATCTGGGCAGCGGGCTCTCGGGAAGGAGTGCGGGGACCTCCTCCACCCTCCTTCCCAAGCACCAACCGGCCTTTCCCCCCAGCTGGGCGGCGGGCTCAAGCGGCGGCGGCAGCTGCAGGGTGGGGGGTGTCCCGAAGGCTTCCAAGCCTCCAGGACCGCCCTACCTGTCCCTGCCGCCGGCAGCCACCCCGCGCAGCCTACCCCAGCCCTGCTCGGATGCCTGGAAGTCTGCGATAGTCAACATCGTAATGCGATCACAAAAGCGATCGCAAAATCCGTATCG